TGCTGTGCCTGTGCGGTGTGACTCTGGCTCGTTATTATAATAGATCCATGCTCTGGAGTGTCAATGTGAGAATATACAGTTTGGTAAAGCTGCAGCAGGCAGACATCAGTCAGATATTTCCGCGATGGCATATTGAAGCAGTGAACATGAGCTGTTTGAACCTAGCGCTTTCCGCAACAGACAAGCGTTGGTGGCACAGGGGAATAAATTCTATAACTTTCGTGCATATTTCGTGTTGTTTCTTACGTCATTACTGTATGATTGTTGCTGCTGTAGAATCTTCGTTACTGATAGCTGCATGAGTTGCTTGTTTACGCAATTTTGACGAGAGAACGTAACGTGTGAGTATGAACCCTCATGGGATCTGATCGGTCTTTGTGATCGGCACATTTCACCGATCATGCAAATTAAGCCGTGATTGGCCAATCATAATCGGCTACCGATCGATCAGTGCACCTCTAAAGGCAAGGCAAATTTATTTGTATAGCACAATTCATACACAAGGCAACTCAAAGTGCTGAACAAAATATGAATAAGAATATAATCATAAATAATCACAGAACATTAAAAATAAGGATACAAATATAAAATCCCTCAGTTGTATGCACAGCTAAACAGAAAGTCTTTGACCTGGTTTTAAACATTGTCAGAGAGGAGGCCTGTCTCACATCTTCAGGAAGACTGTTCCCGATTTTAGCAGCATGAGTCTGAAATGCAGCCTCCCCATGTTTAGTTCTGACTCTGGGCACTAACAGGAGTCCAGTCCCTGTGCTCCTCAGAGAATGTGGTCGTACTTCCTGGTTCTAATCAGGACTCGAGCAGCTGCATTTTGAATGTACTGCAGCTGTTTTACAGCCTGTTTGGAGAGACCTGTGAGCAGGCCATTGCAGTAGTCTAACCTACTGGAGACAAATGCATGGATAAGAATCTCCAGGTCTGCTTTAGACGCTATGTTTTTGATCCTGGTAATGTTTTTTAGGTGGTAAAAAGCTGCTGATGTTACTGATTTTATGTGGCTATTAAAATTTAAGTCTGAGTCCAGTATTACCCCTAGATTTCTGACCTTGTTTGAAGGTTTTAGGGAGAGAGACTGTAGGTGACAGATGACGCTCTCTCTTTGTTTCTGAGGACCAAAAACATCATTTCAGTTTTGTCTGCGTTTAGCCGAAGGAAGTTGTTTTGCATCCACTCACTGATCTGTTGGATACAGTGAAGGACAGAGTTCACTGGTCCATGTTCTCCTGAAGTCAGTGAGACATAGATCTGAGTGTCGTCTGCATAGTTGTGATAGGACACTTCGTTTCTGCGTATTAACTGACCCAACGGCATTTTGTAGAGATTCAACAGAAGAGGTCCCAGGATCGACCCCTGTGGGACTCCACAGGTCAGGGCCATATGATTTGAATAGGGCGCCATCTTGGATCACCGGGGCTTGTGATCGGTTGACAGCTCCGCCCCTCTCTTTACCCGAGTGTCCGAGACACGCGGCCGAAGGTCAGATGACACAACAACAAAGTCAATCATCGACCTCCGGCCTAGGGTGTCCTGGTGCCAGGTGCACTGGTGGACATCCTTGTACTCGAACATGGTGTTCGTGATGGACAAACTGTGACTAGCACTGAAGTCCAACAACTGAACACCGCTCGGGTTCAGAGAGACTGGCGGAGGGACGCGACCCTCTCATTCACCGGGGAGAACTCCAACACGTGGCGGCTGAGATGGGGGCAATCAGTATGCCACCCCAGCTCGCCGCCTCTCCCCGCGAGAAACACCAGAAAAGTGGAGCGTCCAACCCCTCTCCAGCGTCCAGAGCCCAAGCTGTGCGTGGAGGTGAGGCCGACTATCTCTAGTCGGTATCTCTCAACCTCCCCCACGAGCTCGGGCTCCTTCCCCCGCAGTGAGGTGACGGTCGCAGAGGTCTTCGCCTTCGACTGCTGCCCAGTCCTCGCTGCACCGAGCCTCCACGGACCCCTCTGTGGGTGGTGGAAGGTCCAAGGTACTACGGAAGCCTGAGTTGAGGCTCCTCAACTCTCAGTCATTCGCCAGACTGCCAAGGAAAGAATACTTTAGTTTGATAAAAGTCCGGATCTCTCCAAACGTCTCAGGCACCACGGTCGCGTGGAGGTGGCATGTAAACAAGACCACGTTCAGACGCGGCACCCGCTGCACAGAGGCTTACACTGAGTTTTACCATGGATCTATTATAATATAGTTTTACAAACGCGTTGTGAAGAGAAGAGACGCATGGAGGATTAACGTCTGTGGGAGCTTAAAACTACAATGACATGGATAAAAGCTCATGTTAGCATTAGCGTTAGCCACAGCGCTTATCTGCATTACGGTAAGAAAACAGAACATTCACTCACGCTGGTGATAAAGTATTGTGGCGATTGTTTTGTGGAGATTCTGTGTGTTTTATTTGAGGCTTTGTCCCTGAATAAGTTTAGTTGAACAGTAGTTGACAGTAGTTGGACTGCGCTCGGATCGGGTCAGAACTTCCTGAGACTGTGTTGCAGATTCTGCCTCGTTCTCATTATTATCAGTGTGAAAAAAGTTACGTATTGTTCACGTGTGAGTCTGTTGTGTACAAACTACACGATGTGCCTCCTGTTGTGTTAACGCTGTCTTTCGGTGTTTGTGGTTTGCGATGTTGACACTTTTGCATAATCATTTTTCTAAAAGATTGTTGTTCGGATCGTTCTTTTACATAACTGCGGTCCTCTGTGGTTCTTTTACATAACTGCGGTCCTCTGTGGTTCTTTTAAATAACTGTGGTCCTCCATGGCTCCTTCTTCAAACTTGTGAAAGCAACAATATCAGTAGCTCATGTGAAACGAAAGTGCAATTCTCGCATCCCTTTTGTCCCTTATCCACCACTGTTTTTCAAGATGCCGCATTTACACGGAGAGTACGCCTCTCTCATGGACATTTATAAGTTAAATTCTAAGCCTATGAATACAATTCAAAAAACGCGGTGGAGGTAAATATTCTTAAAAAGGTCACATTTGTTATTAGTTATTGTGTTATTGTGCGCATTGTGCGCTCTGCAGAGGAAGTGATCGGCCGCAGCCTTCCATCGCTGCAGGACCTGTACGTCGCTCGAGGCCGGGCTGGTCGTATCACAGCCGACCCCTCTCACCCTGCACATGGACTATTCCAACCACTCCCCTCAGGCAGGAGGCTGCGGTCCATCAGGACTAAAACCTCCCGCCACAAGAACAGTTTCTTCCCCTCTGCTGTTGGACTCTTGAACACTTCTTAACCTGTCCCCCCGCCCTTTTAAAGTCACTTTACTGCCCATCATACGTCACTTTACTTCACTGTACTGCTGTCACCTTACATTGTGTGCACCATGTGCACTTGTATATTGTAAATAGTAACTGTAACTCTATTTTAAATTTAAATTTATTCTTTAGAAGTGTTTTTTATTCTTATTTTTATTATCTCTTTTTGACTGTTGCACTGAGCCAAAGCAATTTCCAAGTCTGTGACCTCCTGTTACTTACGTTGGCAATAAAAATGATTCTGATTCTGATTCTGATTCTGATTAACATGTTTTTTCATATGGAGCAGCTGTAAAAATTACACAGGGTGGCTTTAAGGATGTCTTGAATCATGTCTTGAATTAACCCTTGTAACCCTAGTTTTTATCCAAAGCGAAAGTACTTATTAGGTTAAAAGAGAAATTGATTAAAATTGGAGTTGCATCATTTCTATCCTGCCTGCTTTCTCCAATAAAGGAGGATGAGGTTGTGATAGTAATTAATCAGTTTGTAATTGTGGAGAGTGACGTCAGGATATGACCTACTTCTCAAACCAGGATGTTTTCTCCTTGCTGTGGTTTGATGAAAGTGTTATTATTTATTTGACTTTTGACTTGCCTGCAGAAGAACTGAACCATATCAAGCTGCAGTGAAGCTTCACAATACAACAACACACAGTTTTCACCTTCAGTCTGCCACATCATTATTCCCCATTGTGTTAAAAATCCAGCCTTACATTTTCTTTACTTTATCAATCTTCCTCATGCACTTGTTTGCATTAGAAGTCTTGATCACAGTTGTTTGGATTTTGGCTCGCTTCTACCGCACCATTTTTCAGGTCACTGTCAGTTTTTTTGTTGCAGTCTATCTCTCTCCCTCTCCTCCTCTCTCTCATCCACTTCGCTTTGGCTGGTCTGTTTTGCAGAGAGCTGAAGACACAAAACCATGCTGTCGGAGCTGCTGCAGTGTGTTTGTGCCTGCAGGACTGCATTGCTACATCTAGTGCGAATGCTTTTATACCTTTTTACGTTTCGTTTTTTCATTTCCTAGCCACATATCCACCTACGCCTTGTATTACTGCATTGTCTGGGTATAACCCATTGCCAGACTTGGGTGATTTTTGCCGTTCAAATGCAGGGGACTCCTCTTTCTCACTCTTCTCTTGCGGTTTGGATGGGTCTAAATCGGGCTATGGAAACATTAGCGTGAGGCAGTACATGCTCTTCAAGTTTGTATGTGCTATGCTATTGCTACCTTGACCTGAAATATTTTTTAATGCATATGTAACTATATATGATATTGCATGAGTGAATTAACTCACTGTGGTGACTGTATGTAATGTAATTTATCCTCGGCCTTGAGCAGAGCTTCACTTAGGTCAGTCAGATTGCTGCATAACTAGCACAGTCATGATACTGCGCTATGAAGGACTCATTTAATTTGTATGTTCAGAACTTCAGTGTCATGCAGTGTATTGGTGGGCAAATAATGTTATAAATTGTTAATATTTGTGAGTAACATCACATTTCATCATCTTTCTTAATTGATTGGGGTATATTATTACATATGTATATACACCCCTTGTAGATGTCCACTTTAAATCTTGCGCCAAAAATATTATTTGTTTGTATAGATTCTATCCCATCACCAAATGTTTCCCTCCTCACTTACAGCATGTTGTATTCTACTCACAGGTGAGGACATAGATTCCTGATTGTCTTATGTGCTTTCCTTCAGGCTGGTTCAGGGTCTCTCAACATGGCTGCAACCATCCAGGACTTTCAGAGGGTGGAGTCAGACCGCCTCAATGAAGTAAAGGGACATCTGGAAATTGCCTTATTGGAGAAGCATTTTCTACGTGAGTACACTTGACTCAAAGCTGTTTGAGTTCTACACAGATATAGTTGGGTGAGATATTCAGCAAAACATGACTACATAGTGAAACAAATGATCAGAAAGGTGCAAATTCCTAATACAATATAAAGTGCATGTGCAGTGCTTCGTTGAGAATGGAATTTGTGATGATAATTTTATCATCAGTCTCTACATACTGCCGTTAGGTCAGTTAATACGTAGTAACGTGTTCTATCACAGCTACACAGACGACGCCCAGATCTATGTCTCACTGACTGCAGAAGAACAAGGACTAGTGGACTCACTCCTTCAATGCATCCAACAGATCGGACAAAACTGGAATTATTATTGTTGTCTTTAGTCCCTAGAAACAAACAAAGCATTCTGTCACATCCAGTCTCTCTCCCTAAAACCTTCATATCAGGTCAGTAATCTAGGGGTAATAATGGACTCAGACCTGCATTTAAATAGCTACATCAAATCAGTAACACAGGCAGCTCTTTACCATCTAAAACATTGCCAGAACCATAAATATAGTGTCTAAAGTAGATTTGGAGATTGATACCAATGCATTTGTCTGGGCTCTCCATTACTCTGCCTGGGCTCTCCAAACGAGCTGTAAAACAGCCCCAGTAAATTATTATCTCTGCAGCTTGAGTCCTGACTAGAACCAGAACATACAGTAGTTATAGGCCCCAGTATGCATCAAAATACAGTTAGAGGCCCAGTATACTTTATGCATTGAAATAAGGTTAGAGGCGCAGTAAGCGTCAGAAAAATGACCAAAGTACTAATAAATGGCAAAAACTACAAATATTATGTATTTGTATTGATTGAAATAAATGGCCTAATCCTGGTCGACAATGAAAATCTAGATTGACCATGATGTCATTGAATATAGTCGACCAAGTTGGCTCCACATTGCATAACTTCACACACTTACCGAGTCTGTTTTGACTGGATCCACATCATCTGTGTTTTATACAGTGATTGTGCTGCATTTGAAAATGAATACCTGTAGTGTTTCCCTACACTGCAGTGCTGCAATGTGCATGAGTGAAAACTGTCAAGTCAGAAGAATTGAAACAAGATGACACCCTTAAAGGAATAGGCCACCGTTTTACTATACTAACATATGTTAGACTAGTTGATATGTACCTGTCTGGTCTTTGTCCGTGCGCTCTTTCATGCAAACGGAGCACAAACGCAGCCTCTTCCACACACTGTATAGTTCAAAATCAGCTCCTGTTAGAAGCTACCAAACTCTTCCACGTGTTCCCTATTTAAATACAGTTACTGTACGTGACGTGTTACACTACAAAGTATAGTAACACAGAAATGTAACATGTCGATTTTCTCAGCGGATAAAAAGGGGTACTATATTGTGAGGCGTAATAATACGAGGAGCACTACGTCCGTGCACTAACTCCTAAAGACGTACTGCGTGTTACACTACTTTGTAGTGTAATACGTCACGTAACTGTAAAGCAGCTCATGTTGGTTGTGCCCAAAAGTAAAAGGTTGTGAGCAAATCAAACAGATTCAAGTACATTTGGTATGAATGACAATGTGTCATTACATTTGATAATCTCATTTAAAGCTGCACTAACTGACTTTATTTTCGTATTAATTACGAAAATGCTATCCATGTCCATGTAGTGCATTGGGATATACGTCCTTTTGAAGAAAAGTAGCGCAGATTTGTGCTGGCCTGACATTATATTTTCGATCGAGTTTTGATGAAACAAGGAAGAGAATGTGTTTCGGGTCGCAGATTGTGACCAATCACAGCGCACCACTAGCCCCCACTTTCGTGAGAAATCTCCAGGTCCGTTAGCACAGACAGCTGAGTTAGCACAACAAGCGGCGGAGCTAACCTGAAACTTTCTCCTCTTCGTCACCGGGTACTGCTTACACAGCGAAACAGCCATCCAAAAGAAAGTCTCATTCCTCCGCTCTTCCCGGTTCTATCGTTCTATGGTCACGCCATCCACGTGAAAATCCATATACATGTATTATCCATATTGGGAGAGGCTAGCTCCGTCTCAACACTGTGTGTGTGTGGGGGGCGATAGCTTCGTGGGTGCGGGGAGGGGAGCAGAAAGAGCGAGGCCAGCGAGTCCGCGGCTTCAAAATCCCGAAGTCAGTTAGTGCAGCTTTAACTTCAATTGGAGTGGATTTGAAATAGAATGTCAAAAATGCGATTGATCGTAAGTTAACTCACCATTGCTATGTGATTAATCAAATAAAAATAAAAAATAGTTTGACAGCCCTAAAATATTAGGTTTAGAATACATTTTTATCTTATTTAACCGAACAAGGTACTGCCTTTTGAAATGATTTGTACAATTAAGTGTTACTGTATGTACCCTTTATGTATCATGGTGAAATTGTGCTGTGCACTCAAGTTTTCGGAAGCTGCAATGGTTACATTTGATTTCAGTGTCACAAACTTGTATGAGCTCAGACAGAGGCTCCGACACATTTGAAACCATCTGGCAAAGAAAGCCTCAGTTTATTACGGGGCTTCATCTGCGCATCACTAACTGGTACCTAACGCTATAGGGTTATTTAAAGCAGCTGTAAGGGAAAAAAAAGAATCAAATCGAGACCCTATAATCAAATTTAATCAAATCGAGGATTTGGAGATCCGTGACACCCCTATAAGTATAGTAGATCTATAGATTAATCAACTTTTACAGAACTGATAAAACTTGACATTGTGCCATTTTCACACCAAAGTTGCAGTTAGCTGTATTTGTTATTATGTGTTACCATTATAAAACCTACAGCATATGAATGACACGTTCTTCCATTGCCTCCTCTGCAGGTATAAACATGAGCAATTTCCTACATGTCAAGTATATTCGGTGTAGTCAGCTTGAATCTGCTGGTCTTGTGATGCAAGTTTCCTGGTTTCGCTCTTATAGCAAGTGTTCTTTTTATACTTCCACTTATTTGCTTTTTCTTTGTTGTGAACAGTAGATAAAATAAGACCTAAGGGAGAATACTGGTACCATAGAGTTGTTGAACTGCAATGAAAATGATTTTGAGCACAGGTAAACTTTTAAGCATTTATATTTAGATGATGTTTTTGCTTGGACTTACCTAGACATTTTAACTGAAAACATTTCAACTGGTGTCAAAATGCTTGATATTTTGAAACTTCTGGATGTTTAGATATTTTATGGAAACCATGTAGTCAACGGAAGACATTTTAAAAAGTGCAAGAAAATCTAATAATTGTAAGTTTGATATAATGTAACCATTAAATGGACAATTTGCTTTGAAGAACCAATTCTGCAAAGATGGATATCAGTCACAATGTAGGAATTGGGTCTATCTTCAAAGGTATTTTTAACAAAAAACATGCCTTTTGCCAGCTATTCAACTTGATCGAGATTTATATTGCAGTCTTGATTATTTAATAATGTTTGGGAAGTAACCCCCCAAACTAGAGGACTGGCTACAGCCTATCCAATGAAAAACATCTGTCATCGCTGTCAAGAAACGTGCACTCAGAACGCAGACCTCACAAGCTCACCGGGCGGCGAGGACCCAAGCTTGGAGAGCAATAATCAAACGAGGAGGAGTATGAGGTCCGAGTTTTTATATTTAAAAAGTATTTTTTTCTATTTTAAAGTGGCCTACTGTAGGGTGGTGGTCAAGTAGCATCTGGTACTGCTTCATTATTCTGTATCACTGGTGTCATATCCACCCACTGACCCTGTCCATGGTGATTGGGACTGGTTGTTCTATCCCATGCAGCACGTTGCCTGTCCCATGATGTGTAATCGTGTGTCAAGTTTTCCGTCCCCGCGAGCTGTGTGTGTGAGTCTACTCGAGTGTTTGAAAGGGAATACCTCAGGCTTTGCCCATTCCCACAGTTGCCAATAGTAGCCATACATTGACTGAAAATCCCCTGAATGTAACCTGGCTTATGATCTTTTGTTAAAACATCCCTGCTGATTGCACCCTGCTGAACTTCATTGCACTGCTCATATTCATCAGAGTAATGTCATCTTTTGAAAAGGTTTGGTGGTCAAATCTTATCACACAACCCTGGGCACAAATAAGGCAGAACACGTTCATGTGTCATTTAATATTGTGTTGATCATGTTAATTTCATTCTGTGTTGTGCTTGAAATTACAAACCAGAATGATTGTAATTTCAAGCAAAATTACCATCTTTTGTTCTGGATCTGCAAAGGGCACCGGGAAATCTTAACATTACCAACTCAAATAAATGACAACACATATGTGCATGATATCATTTATTGCATTATCTCACTGTCTATACTTCTCCTTGGACTGACCATTTTATGTCAATACATCCAGCACAAGGTTTATTTCAAAACCTGGACTGTACAACACAATATTACAGAACAAAATTACGGGGGGTTCGATTTAAGCAAATGTGTGTAATCTTTCCAACCCCCCTTACCCAGTCAATACAGCCACTAGAACTGCAGTATTTGGAACAAATTTGTATTTTGACTTTCCATCAGTTTTTGTTCTTTTAGTGATTTTTTTTTACTTTTAGGATCATATAGTGTGGGAGGCCACTTTTTATCTCCATTTGACATCTTATTTTTTATTACAGCTTTGTATAGCGACCTTCAGAGGAATTTTATCCTGTTTAATGACAGTGCAGTGAAAACTGCACTGTTATTTAATGTTCAACAGAACAAAAAGTTTGTTGTTTTCTAATCCTGGATTTGTATTTTGTAAGCAATGCACGCTCAAGAATATAGCCTCATAGGCAAAAGCACTTTGTGTGGTCATGGTCTCTGACAGGAAGGAAGCTGCACTTTATGAGCAGCTGAACGTGATAGGGCTCTGTACACAACTTATGAGGCATTGAGGTGAGTCGAATGTCTTGAAAACTAGGTCATGTTTTCCCAATAAAGTTTATTATTGGGTATGGTTTTGGTCACCACTGCCTCACTGATGTGGATGTGGTACAGGTCACATTGAGCCTGCTTAGTGTTGACATAAGCCCCT